GGTTGGAAAGTAGAGCTGCAGAAATTTATTTGATCTATTGCTCCTTCGCTCCTTCGCTCTTTCCTCGTGTCACAGAAACTGGCCTTGTCATACGGACGACATGTTGACTAAGTGGCAGTTTGACGACTGACCGTGCTTTGTCCCAACGTCCGTGAACCCAGCAAGCCTCAGGATTTGCATGCGTCAAGAGCTTTTTACCGATGACTTGGCCAAAGAATATGCGCTCAGGGAGGGACTCTTACTTGAACTAGTCGTGCAGTGGACAATGCTTACGTATGAGGGCGATGCACACCACTGTGTTGGTCCTGCCATGCTGATTTGTTTGAGCAGAATGGAGCTCAGGTATTCTATTCATTTCGGATGTGAGAACGAGCAAAGCAGCTAGACTCAATTGACTTTTTATGTGCATGCTTAGAAGTGGTAATGCTAGCAGATCCGCACGGCCAGCTTCATCATGCATCTCTGAGTTCATGGCACAGGGCTTACACTGCTTTTACACTTTTGCTGAATTGCAACTGCCTCTGCATGATGTTCCTCCTTTTTTGGACGCCAGAGATTGACAAGCTTTAAACATGATGATACTGAGGACGATGAGTTTCATCCCAGCGCCGTGGATGTAATCGGTACTACTAGAGCTGTATGAGACTTTCAAGACACGGTTGATCTTGTTGTGCAGAGATCGGGAGTTGCAGCCCTGTCTACGAGCTGATACAAGAGTTCTAGTTTCTGAATCCTTTAAATAACATACCTGGTCGTTAGCCCTAGTCTGTGTAGAACCTGGTCGGCCATTGGCCAAGAAACCGGTGCGTTCCTTGAAATGCTTCCCACCGGACATGTCGTCATGCCGAGAGTTGAAGCGAAAACACACGCATCATACTGTGTCGATTGGTGAGGTCAAGCGGTTATTGAAGAAGATATGAAGCTGCAAATGTCTTGGCACCTTCTCATGAAACCTCTGGCTTCCAGCTTCAAGTTCCGGCTCCCATGGGGTGCCTGGGCTGGATGGTCAACCGATGGTCAACAAGGCCCTTTCGCAGTGAGAGCGGGCCACTGAGGGAGACAACATTAGATTCTTTCTGGGCACCATTGCTGTTTGTCTTGCAGACTGAACATAGCAAGGTGCTGGCAGGACTCACTACCTGAATGGCGCCATTTTCCTGCCAGTACCCAAGACTGCATTTGGATTGCATGCCCTGGCAGAATCAGGACCTCAGCAAGTGTTTTCTTCACCCGCTCCAAGAGCCATTGAAGCACATTACTCCATCCAACAGCCATTCAAAACACCCCCGTCAGACCCGAGCAATTGAAAGCAGGTCGAGCTCCTGCTACCTCACCATCATGAGTTGCAATGATGCAGGGTTTGAGCCTAACATTGGAGGAATACTGAGGACTCGTTTCTTTGTGTCAACCATTCAGATTTTTCCAAGACGGTACGACCACAAACTCACCAACTTTGCGATAAGACACCCATTCCACACGCAACCCCTTGAGTGACCTTGGCTGAGACAGCAAAGGTTTGGGGTCCAGAGACCACGACCGAAAGTCGTCTATTTGTGGAATCTGGAGGCTGGAGACAACGGATTTGCCATTGAAAGGTGGCAACCTTTGCAAACTGGCTTCTTCCATGAGACAAGTTGACTTGGATTGAATCTAAAGATTGCTTCTTTGAAGCCTTCATGACATATGTATATACTATATGAATACATACAAGCAGCACTGTTGGCTTTAGTCAACAAACACTTAAAGTGGAACCATTCTAAGCAGTGAAACAAGATGGAACACTGTTGTAGGACACCCTTGCCTGACACTCGTGTGAGACACTCTTGGCTTGACACTCTTGTACTGTAAGCTCTTCCTTGACAGTCTTGTGGGTCAGTCTTCTCCAAAGGCGAGGCGGGAAATCCCCACAATCAGCGTATGCAAGTGAAATCGCAAGGATGTGTAGAGACGCAAAGAGGCGCGAACACGAAAATAGAACAGCAACATAGACTTATTGAGTTGTTCTCCTATGGAAGGCGCTGATACTTGATCAATAGTTACACCTAATCACAGGCCGGTGGTGACACACTCCCCACTTGGCCCCCGAATCGGCGGTCGCCCACAAATGTAGAGTTGGATCGGCCAATCTCGGAGTGACCCAGCCATACGCGGCCCTGCGAAATGGAAACAGCAACAGCAGGTTCAGAAGCCGAGTGTCTGAAGACCTACGACAATGAGACTTTTGGTGACAAGGCCATTTTTGAGTATTGGGAAGCATTCACATAATTCAAGTGGACATGCTAGAGGTGAAGGAACGGAAGACACAGAACTGGTCAACGCTGTCCCGAATATACTGGTCGTTGATGGCTGTTTCTGGTCCGTCATCAAATTTGGGTATGTGCTGCCTTATTTTCGAGACTATGCTTACTCTACATATTTGCTGGGTGGCGATCGGTCTTGGAGGGAGTTCCAGGTAATCATTTCAGAGATTTTATTGGCAGTATATAATGAGTTGGTCTTTTTGTTGGCCCTTGATAGCACTGGGCTTCTCACAAGTTCCTAGAAGAAACAATATAGTCGTAGATTGTTTGCATCCCTATTTTTAGGTTGCTATATCCTGGAATCTCTGGCACCAAGCCATCATTTTGGGGTTGTATTTTGTATGCTTTTTTGTTTGGGCTGAGGGGTCGAATGCAGTCAGTGTTTCATGCAGGAAAGGCCTCGACTGTTCACATGTCTGGCACCAAAGAAGTGTTCGACATTGTTTTGCCCCCAACATCGACTGGTTCCTTTTCTTGTCATACAGGCCAGACTTACAATGGACAGCAGCGTGCAAGCAATATGTGGGAAGGCTGTGGTCATGCAGTGGTTCCAAGAGGATATTGTTCAGGACGAGTTCCTTTCCCCACAGATTCTGCATTTGTGCCCAATTCCCTTCTCGACACTCCATGTGTTTGAGGAGAATCAGTTGTCCAATGCCTCGCAATCTCAGGAAATATGAGCAGCAGATGTTCTATTTCAACACCCACCGGCGCATTGCCAAGTACAAACACGAATATTTGGACTACTTCAGGCTGAGACGGCTTGCCAAAGGGCGAACCCGAGCAGGGAACCATACTTCTGTTATCCTTTCTGATTCCTTGTGAAGTTCCTTTGGGCAGCTAAAGCAGTGCTGAGGTGGTCTGGTTGCCTTTGGTCTGCCATGGTCGTTCAAAGTACAGTATATGTTTGGGATAGGCGATAGATGGCGATAGCTAGTGACACGGGAGCTGTACTCCTATTCTTCCAAAGAATGACTGAAAGACATCCAGCAGCATGCTTATGGTGTACCTTTTTGACCGGCAGCCTGAGTTGGACCATCCTTGTATTTCCAACTAAGCATATTGCTCGACAGCATTTTTTTTGTAAAAGTGGCCTAACATACAACAAAGACTGCGCAACATTTTTGCATGCCCTAGAGAACACATTTCTTCACTAAAGGGTACTGCATTTGCACGACGCAAGTGTTTTGTTCTATGCATGTACTGTACCTTGACACGATGTGACTTGTCAGGCCATGTGCACCTCGTTCAGACAATGTTGTGCTCCACCCAAATACGTAGGGCTAAGGCTTCATCAGCAATTGACAATCCTAGTATATACATACACTACCGGATACTCCGGATACCCTACCCAAGCACATCATTCTCCCAATGGACATACCCAGAGGTCCAATAACTAACCCTGTTCTTCTCAGGTACAGAATGAATCTACTGACACCACCTCTCAGCCTGTGATGTGATTCGGGGATTCGACTGGCCCTGAGATGCCAGGTGCGCTTGCTTTGACTGCACCTCAGAAGCGGCCATCCTGCAGGGCTACATGGACCACTTGGGAGTTCCAGCGGCGCTAGAAGAGATCCAGGATCAGCTGCATGCTGCATGACAATGCATCCTGAAAGGGGGGACGGCTGAAAGTTCTTCAAGTAATAAAGCTTGTTGGCAAGTAGTACAGCTTGTTGGCCATTAGGTATGGTACTCACATGGTTTCTAGGGGCTAACTGCTCCCCCTTTTGCTCTGGATAAGGAGAAAGTGTGCACACCTCCATCATCCTTTTCTCGGTCAATACAGGTCTCTTCTATCTGCAGCATTTAGATCACCATTTTCCCTTCAGCAGGTGAGCCTTTTGCATGGAGAAAGATTCTGTGCATATTTATTTCATTTCAAAGGATCGATGAGATAGATGGCTCGAAAGACAGCCCAATCTACCCCTCTTGCCTTGTTGGGCAGTTCGGCCGCATGGAAGGACGTTCCGACCTTGAGCCGTTGGCTTCACAAAGAATGCCATCGATTCTGAGATGCCAAACCGGGACGGGGAGGACTCTTGCGAACACCACGGTCGCACTGTTTCGCCAATCAGGAGTGAAACCGGTGTATAGCTACCAAACACTGGGTCTGAATGTGGCCTTCTGATCACACGAAGTCACAGCAGCATGCAAAATTGCCTTCGCGGTTAGAAGCATAAAACTAGAGTACATAGATTTGGCAGCCTTATCAAGGCTGGCCATGTCTTTCCTCACTGTATCTTCTAAATGCCGCAACCGTTGCAACCGTTCCCTGACTTAGACTTAGAGAGATTTAGATCAAGCTCCCATCAAGGGAGTTACCTTTCTCAGATCTCCTGTATTCCAACCCAAGTGAAGCCAACGTCCAATTTTTGCAGAGCTCGATGCTCCAAACTAAGGAGACCACGAGAACCCGCGCAGCCTCTTCCATGGTAACCCAGATCCCGTGGAAAGGAAGAGGCGAATTCAGAAGAGGCAAAGATTGGAAGATCCATGCGCAGCGGAGGAAAATGGCTGGATATCTCATGCTTTATCTTTGGCACTGAAAGCTGGGAAACATACAACAAAATGGATCACCAGGAAACCATCCCCGCAAGATCCACAGTCCTGTTTATCTGGCAGTCTGCTAGGGTGGAAGCCATCTCTATTAGGTTGGATGCCATGGTTTACGGTATTTAGCAGTGAAGATCGTGGCAGGTCGCCTACGATCGGCTGACCCGGGGCCTCGATTTGCACAAGGCAGGTGTTGCTGCGGCGTTGCGCGGCGTGTGCGGCAAGCGCTCCACGTCCTCCAGGACGGGAGTTCCTGGTTTTCATGGATGCGATCCATGAAACGTGCGGTGCCTCAACAATGGTCCTCAGAATCTGATTTAAAACAAGCCTTCCTGGGACCGTGGCAACTGACAACTCGATTTGGGTGTAGGGCCGTGAATTCTTTTTGTATTTTACGCGAAACCCATCGAATGCAGTAAGCTGTTTCCAAAGGCGCTAAAATCACATATTGAAGTCGTGGCGATTTTCTAGTTTTGAAGCGTTTCCATTGGGATTTGAATGTATGGATGTCGTGGCGATGTTGCGTTTTGGTTGGGGAGAAGACAAGGCAGCAGCGGCAAACAAAACGCCGATCAAACAAAACGCCGATCGCAGGAGACAAGCAAGAAAGAAGGAAGTAACGAAGAAAAGAAAGAAAGAAAGAAAGAAAGGGGATGTGCGCATATACATGACGAGGAAACTAGAGGTTTTCATTCTGACGGTTTTCCTTGCTGGCATGGGTTCTGACCTCGTTCGTCCAGAGCCTGGTCTAAAGAGATGTCAAAGGACCACAAGGAGATTAACATCATTGCTAACTCATGACACTTGTGCTAGGGAAGGAACTTCAAACACATCAAAGACATTGCCAAACCATTCTGTTTCCCGCGGGAAGCTGATTTTTGCAAGGGCTATGCCGGGGGGCAATTGCCGGATCAGATTCGACTTCGCCGGATCAGCGTCAGGGATCAGCGTCTGGGATCAGATTCCTTTCGGCCGGATCAGCGTCGTAGGATCAGATTCTAGCGGGACGGTCGGGATGGTTGGGATGGTTGGGGTGGTCGGGATGGTCGGGATGGTCGTGATAGCCGGTGCGCAGCCAGTTAGCAACAACAGTTGGAATAGTTTATACTCGACCTCGCCGAATCAGCGTTATAGTTACGGATTAGCGTCAACGATATAGGATCCTTGGTCGGGATGGTCGGGACGGTCGGGGTGGTCGGGATAGCCGGTGCACAACCAGTTAGTTACAACAGTCGGCATAGTTTTTCCTCGACTTCGCCGAACCAGCGTAAGTTCGGGATCAGCGTCAACGATATAGGAGCCTTGGTCGGGATGGTCGGGATAGCCGGTGCACAACCAGCTAGCAACAACAGTTGGAATAGTTTTTCCTCGACTTCGCCGAGCCAGCGTAAGTTCGGGATAAGCGTCAACGATATAGGATCAATTGGTCGGGATGGTCGGGACGGTCGGGATGGTCGGGATGGTCGGGACGGTCGGGATGGTGTTGCGCGCGCGCCCGTCGAGTCTACGATTCCGATCTGACCAAATAGATTCCGATCCTACGATTCATTCCGATCCAACGAATCCGATCCGAACAACACCCTATGCTGGGGCCCCCTCCTGGCGCCGCGTTTCCATTTGGGGACACAAGTTTTTTTCCTACTATACCGTGACTTACGCGGCTGAGAGTAGCTAGCAGCTAGCTATTCTTTACCACTAGGTTTCAATTGCAGTCAAGGCAAGTTTAGACCCTGTTGTCGTTGTCCGGTCTATCTAGAAGCCAAGACTCGCTGATGGTGAGGAGCAGTAGCTTCTCGTTACTACTGGGTGCTCGGGTTAGCCTGTCTCGGGTAGCAAGAACTCGTTCCAGATGAGGTGTGCCCTTGAGAGAAAGCTTGATTGGGCTACCTTTATGTATGTATGTATGTTGTTGTTTATCATAGGTTGAGAATTCGACAAAACCGCAAGGGCACACTATTGATTCTGTCTCGAGTTATTGCACTGCCAAGTGCTACTGTCGTTGCGATTTCATGTTTTTGGCTTTGCTACATTGTGATTCGTTTTTTCAGCAGTCGTTGCGAAACAGTGTCCCCAAGCAGTTTTATGTCTAGGAGTGTAGACGTTCGTTGTTTGGTCATTTCATACAGTGTATTATATTTGTTATTTCTTGGTGACTAGCGCTTGGAATACAACTCGCCTCAAGTTGCGCTTCCCAACCAATGTTGGGACAGAAAGGGGGCAGGGCCCATTTGCCTCGTGCATTTGTTTCTACATACTGGGTGCCTGTGTTTACCCCTATCGCGGTCAAGATCTCGTATCGAAGCCGGTGTGCCATTGGGGGGAAGCCAGCAAAAAAGTGCAAACTAGCAAAGATGAACAATATATATATATTTCTCAATCTTATTGATTCCAAATCTGCGTGGCACACTGGCTTTGATGCGCTCACGCTGCAATGTTTGTGAAACCAGTAAACCATTGGGAAGCTATCGAATAGCTATGAACCTAGAAAACCTAGAACCCATCAACATGTAGAAAATTGAATCGCAGTGAAATGGTGTAGGCTTAGAAGCAACCTAGGAAAAAACCACTTGTTTTGAAACGGTGTGCCATTGTGTTTTTCAAGTGGGGTCTAGTAACTTCTAGCTACTAACTTGTTTTCTTGGTCCCAGCTTTTGGGCCGGCTTCCGGTGAGGCCGAAATGCCTTGGGACGTCGGCAGCTTCAGAACATCATGCGGGCTGGTCGTTGCCTGGAAGCAAACTGAAGGAGCTGTAGCAAGGTGGCCGGCTGATGGGAGACTCGTAGGTCTTCAATTCCTCTCTTGTTGTTTGCATTTTTGGGTTCATATTTTCCTTAAACTTAAAAATCAATCTGCCCAAAAAATCAAATTTTCAATTCCTTGGTTATTTTTCCTTTTCTTGTTCTCAAAACTGAAGTCACGTGTTTCTGCCCCCTCAGCCCTTCGCCTGCCCCCGGGAACAAAAACATCGCGAAGAAGCAGGGCACTACTACAACGATCCAACCATATTTTGTTTGTCCTTTTCTGCCCTTTGCACTGGGATGCCTGGACGCTCTTTGAAGTCCCAAGCAATTCATCGCGACTCCAATGTCACAGAACTCTGGTAGATTGGCCGACGCCCGGATTGGCAAGTTTAAAGACGTTTCTCAGTCTGGGAAGGAACCCCAGGAGAAAAGTGACATGCCTCAAAGACGACGTCCGTTCCGGTCGCTTCAGGCTGGACCACAAACCAGCTACTAGTAGCGTGGTTGCTGCTAGTAGTAATGCCCTTGTTACTAGTAGCGATGCACTTGTTACTAGTAGCTGCTAAGAATTTTTCATCCAAACATATCGAAAGATATCGAGATTCGCGTGTCCGTCCGGTCGGCCCAGGTGCCGTCTTGCGACCCATGGAGATTCGCGATTCCTTGACCTCGATCCCACCGATGGTGCGATACTGGGCCGTCCTGGTTGGATGTTGACTTTGTTGTTCCTGCTTAGATGTGGTGGGGCAAAACCCATGTGGCATCATTTGGAGTGAGTGTGAGTGAGTGCTTTGCCACGCTGGCCGGAAACAACACCTCTTTGTTGTGTGGCATCAAGGTCCAAGGTAGTCTGGGCTTAAAGCTTACTCAATGTGTCTGAGAACTCTCCAATTGACCGACGGCTCGTCCTTCTTCTTGATTCTTGGTTCAAGCCTGAAGTTGTTCTCCAGTAGGTGACAATGTGTTCTGCAGGAGGTTCTTCTTCTTTGCTGCTACGACGTGATAGCAGTGCTGTTGCATGTGGTTCGAACGGCATGGAAGAAATCGAGATTCCACCATTGGCTTCCGGAACGTGCTACACCCAAGCTTCTGCAAGAGGTCCGGAAGGAGGTGGTCATTCAGTGCTTCTGCATAATGATGGCAATTGGGAGTGCTGTTGCTTGCGGATATGACGATGAGGGACAATGCATCATTCTACCTTTGACGGAGGGAGTTCGCTACAAGCAAGCTTCTGCAGGAGGTTATCACTCAGTGCTTCTGCGAAGTGATGGGAGCGCTGTTGCTTGCGGATCCAACGATCACGGACAATGCACCATTCCAGAGGGAATGTCCTACAAGCAAGTTTCTGCAGGATGTGCTCATTCAGCGCTTCTACAAAATGATAGGAGTGCAGTTGCTTGTGGATGCAACAATTGTGGAAACTGCAACATTCCATCTTTGAATCAGGAGGAAGTGTACTACACCCAAGTTTCTGCAGGAGGTAATCATGCAGTGCTTCTTCTCCGAAGTGATGGCAGCGCTGTTGCTTGCCGATTGATCTTGAAACCGCCAGCTACATCGTTCTGCAAACCAATGTCGCTTTCAAGGATGATACAGCTGTGCTGACATGCTTGAACTTAGCTGGAGATGAGATGAGGTTTTGTGCTTGAGTGCAAAGAGGTCTGACAAAACCTGTGAGACTAGCGCATTGCGAGTGACTTGCAGGTAAACCTCCAAACTCTTCAGGTGGTCTTGCCTCACGGTTCTTGGCCTCAATCAGCGGGGCTATTCCGTTGGCCACCATCGCGGATTTGGGTTGATTGTTGGTGGAACCTCGTTGAAGTGGGAAACGGTGCGTCTCACCGTGCTTTCTTCGCTGAACCAAAGAGCTCACTTAGTGTCAAGACTTGACCCACATCAACTCGACACTGAGAGAGTGCGAAAACAAGGCTCGTCGTTCCAATTCAAATACCAGCGGCTCACCGAGCTGTGCCGTTGCCGGCAAAGTCGGTGTCCTGAAAAGAGCTTACTACCTTATGGCCTTATGGCAATCTCAAAGGTCTTCACCAAGCGATAACGATATGATATACATCAAGTGTTGTGCAGGATCTATCCTTCAATGGGTCTAGCTGTCAGTACTTCTCGTTCTGTGTCTTTATCGTGTAGCTGTAGACGAATTGAATTACTGTAACAAACTATTCGCCGTGGATCGCTCCATCAACCCAACCTTTGCGGTTTCCGGGCAAGTCCAGGTGTTGCCCGGTGATGCAGAAGAAGAGGAAGACAGTGGAGATGAGGAGAGTGTCTCAGTGGTTTGTATTGATTAGCTGATTAGCATCTGAGGCAAGGAACTCCACGTTGGAGCTGGGACCCTGAATCACCGTCCACTTGTGAACTAGTTTCCAGCGAGTGGCTTTGCTTCCTGTGGATCGTGCCTATCAAGGCTCATCAGCACTGAACAGGAGCTACTCTAAACCCTCTAGTAGCGTCCTTGCTCCTAGTAAGGCCAGGAGCCCCTAGTAGCATCCCTGCTCCTAGTAGCGATGCCAGGAGCCCCTAGTAGCGTCCCTGCTCCTAGTAGCATGTCGTTGGCAGAAACCCAGGTCGGTGATGCCACAGTTTTGGTTTCATCATGGAAATCGTGGCAGCTGTTCCCTCTTCACTTCAACACCACGCGTGTTTCCTGTGCTGTTTCTTCTGTTTTGTTCACATTACTGTAGGTCTGAACGATTTGCCTCAATGTGGTCGCATGATCCAACTCAATCGGTGCCTAACATTTGGCTCCATGGCTTCGAGAAAAGCAACCGTTAATTTTGAAACATTTGGTGATGGGTTTGTGGGCCATTCAAGCTTGTTTGGAAGTCTTGAAGTAGCGCTCCCCAGCTTGGACTTTCAAGGATGCTCTGGAGTTTGTCTCCATCACCAACTCAGTGCCCGGTGATGGAGAGCGAGGAACTCAGGGAGTGCACTTGCCACCGCTGGGTCGCTGGGAGCGAACATTGCTGGGCCGCTAGTCGAGTGTTGTTCGGACTTTCAACTTTCAAGGGGTTCTGGAGGAGAAAACCATATTTGGATCATAGCTCATTGGGGTGCTTGCGCTCTTTTGCGTGATCATGACTGTGCTAGCCTAGCTTGCAGAGGAACGTGTCTTGCTCGGACAGTCTTCTGAAGATAGATGGGGGAGCCATGCCAAACTGCAAAACGAACACTCTTAGCGCGTTTGCTGGGCGGAGACTAGTGTCGTGTTGATCCTTGGGCTGGGGATTTGTCCGAGCCACCAGGGTTGCCCTTTCTGATGCTGTTCTTTTTTTCGTTGTTTCTGACGCCATCCATTGGTTCAACATCTACAAATCATGAGCACTATCAGAATCATTCATTACATTATTGTACTTATGTTCATTCTACTGAGTGGTTCGTTTCATGCTGTTGACCGCATCAGAGAGGTCTTGAGATTGAGTTGGGTGGCTACCATTTGATGACATGGTTTGACCAGATTGACAAATACTATATAAGTCCAGTGAAGCTGAGATTACCACTACAAGGTAGCCGCAACGGCTGTGTCACTCAGAGTGTTTGGCATTTTTTCATTATTTTTTTCTTTCAGCTGGACCACAACGGCCCTTCCTGCCTGAGCTTGTGGCAGGTCTGGTTACGAGCAGCGGAGGAATGATTTTCGGCAAGGCGCACACTTCTTTTCAGTGGCTTCCGTCATTAAGATACACTCCAACCGCTCCATGTGATATGGGGGATGATACCTCTTCCAACGAACGGCTCCTGGAAAGCTCGGCTTCAGAGGATCCCAGAAGTGATTGCCAGACGCCAGAGGCTCCCATGAATACCTCCGAACCGCTTGGAGACACATGTCTTGGGTCATACAGAAAAGAGCAAGCCGGGCCAAGCACGTTTTAAGTTTTCCTAAAATCTAGGAACCAAATGAATAGTGCGACTAGTAGCGAACTTCTCCTAGAGGCGTGTTTACTCCCTTACTTATATAATGTTGGACGCTGATTAGTAAATGGTTCCGCAATAATGCTAAATTTTTCCAAAATTATTCCAGACCCCATGTTTGAAACATGGTTCCTGAATAATGCTAACTTTTTTGGGGGCCCTAATATTTGTTTTATTGGAAACCTACTTAATAAGGGTTTGAATTCCTTCTGAACCCTGTCCACCTGCACTCCCCCCTCCCTTTCCAGGCAAGCAGCCAGCAGCAAAGCAAAACTGACAGCTGACCAAAACCACCAATTCCTAATTAAACCCTTT